AAGATACTGAGACCCTGAAGATCTTACCCCATGTTTTGGGCAGCAGCCTTATGGCTGTAGGCTTTAGGTCTGTGGGCTATTTTGAGGGTTTTTTTTTTTTTTTTTTTTTTTTGTGGGGAGAGGTGGTATACTGGGGGTTGAACTCGGGGGCACTTGGCCACTGAGCCACATCCCAAGCCCTATTTTTTGTTTTATTTAGAGACAGGGTCTCACTGAGTTGCTTAGTGCCTCGCCATTGCTGAGGCTGTCTTTGAACTTGTAATTATCCCGCCTCAGCCTCCCAAGCCGCTGGGATTTACAGGTGTGTGTCACTACGTTCAGCTTGAGTTGATTTTTATGTGTGACATGAGGTGTGGGTCAAAGGTCTACCAGTCTATTGGGAAAAAAGTTGCCCTTTTCCTGTAGAATTAATTTTGCATGTTTGTCAGAAGCCTGTTGTCTATGTGCACGAATTGACCCGCCTGTCCCTAGCTGGTGTCTGCCTGGGTCCTGATGGGAGACTTGGCAAAAGAGCCTTGTCCTCTCTTGTCACTTCCTCCCGAGCTTTGTTCCCCTCTTCCCTGCATTTTCTGTCTCTTGCCCTAACATCAGGGGCTTTTCCACGCCTGCTGGCTTCCAGGAGTATATGTCCTGCCTTTTGGCCTGGTTGGTGGTTGCTAGCTGATCCTCCGCTGTTAGACCTGTTTCCCCGACACTGCTGCTCCTGCCAGTCTCACACCTGCCACATTTCTTGTAGTGTAGGCTGGCTAGTGATGAGTTCCTGCATACGCTCATCCCTGCACAGCCCCTACCTGGCCCTCATGTTTTGAAAGGTGCTTTGGTGGTCAGAGTCCTAGTCTCGTTTTTTCTCTCAATGATGTGTACATTGCTTCCTGCAGTCTTGACTGCTTTGAACGTGCTTCCTGGTCTCTCGTGTATAACAAATTCTTTCCTTTCTGGCTACTCTTGAGCTTTTATGACATGCCTTGGTGTTGTCTCTGTGTCTGCATAGGATTATTGAGTGTTTTAGTTTTTTTTTGGTACAGAGGTTCTCTTCCACTTAACCACATCCCTAGACTTCTTTTTATTTTTATTTGGAGACAAGTTTCCACTAAGTTCCCAGGCTGGCCTCGAACTTGAGATCCTCCTGCCTCAGGCTCCTGAGTACTGAGATTACAGGCATGCACCCCCACCCTTGGCTCTTAGATCTTGGATCTGTGGATTTAGGGTTTTGTCAAATTTGTAAATTATATGGTTGTCTTTTCTTTAGTTGCATCTTTGCCCACCACCCTTCCCAGAGTTCTAGATACATGTATATTAGACTGTGTGAAAACCCCACAGATGCTCTTGTTAGTTCTTCAAAATTATTTTTCACTCTGCACCTCAGCCTGGCTAGTTTTATCAGTATGTCTTCCAACTCACTTCTGTGATGCAGTCATGCAGTTACATTCTTTCAGATGTGGTGGTTTTCAACCCTAAAGGTTCTTTGAATTCTTGAGGCACTTGTAGTAAATCTTTCCTGCACCTCTGATTATGTGTTCCACTGGCTTCCTGGTGGCCATGTCTGCCAGTCCAACAGCCGTGGCCGTCCTAGTGTGGTTGGCAGCTTATGATTCTTGCTTCTCTGTGAATCTCGTAACCTGTTTTTTATAGACATCAGGGTATTGGGATCCTTGCCCCCCATGGAACTCCTGAGCTCTGCTCTAGGGTAGTTGCTGGCCTGGGTCAGTCTGATGGTATGGGGTTTGGCCAGGGTGGTAGATGGCTCTGGATCAGCTCTCAGTGCAGGGGTGATGCTGTCCCCGTAACTGAGGCAGGCCTTCCTGCATCCTCCAGTCTCTGGCGTGTGGATGGACAGTACTTCTCACCTGCCTTGGGGATAGGCCCGGCAGGTAAAGCACAGGTCTCCAGAGCCTCTTTCAGAGCTCTCTCTCCCCTATCCTGAGCTCCAGGGGCTCTGCCTGGTCCCATCCATGTGTAGCTGAGATCTGGGCAGCTCCAGTGCTATCACCTGGTCCACAGAAGAAAGCAGTGTCATCGCCCTCTGAACCAGAGGTTGGAGCAGTCCCACAAGAGGAGGGTCATGGATGATTGGAAGTTCTCAAAAGTGAAATTCTGGTTACAGAGTCATAAATCATTCTGATAAAGGAAAGAGAAGCCCCTGAGGAAACAGGATTTTGAGTTCAGGATTTGTGGGGAGATGGAAACCAGAAGAACAACAGAGGGTCAGAAGGCCACTAAGATTAACAATCAGAAAAGAACCCTTACACACTAAGGTTTTCAGAAAACAGTGAGGTCAAGGAAAAGACATTAATTTTTAGTTTTTCCTTGAGAAGCAGAGGCAGCAATGAAGCCCATGCTCAGGGCAGTCGGCGCTTGGCAGGGAGGGTGGCAAGACGACGATACTACCCCTGTTCTGCTTTCTTCTTTCCTAATGTGCACTGAGCTGAAAAGCCTTGACTCGTGCACACTGGATGGGAGATTGTCCACTTGTCTGAGAGCACCCTAGTGTTACAGATGAGCTGGACGCAGCTCTGAATCTGCCCGTGGGATTCTGTGCCGAGCCCCTGTAACTAAGTGGATGGTTGGCTTGACTCTGGCCACTGGGGAAATTGCCAGAGTGAGCTCCACCCAGGCTGTGCTGCTAGAGTGGGAACCACTTCAGGTCAATCTATGTTTACATCCTACAATCAGCAGTTGGCGTGTTTGGCCTTCAGAAATCATTCAGCAAAAGAAGCAGATAGCCTCTGTTGCTTACAGCACGCGCCTATCTCCGTATCTGGTGGGTCTCCAGTAGCTCGAGCTGTGCCAAAAACATAAGCGACTGGGTGCCCATCACCAAGGAGTAAGGTCCACTCAAAGCTGGCAGAGTAGACAGCACTGGTGGAGGGCCATGCTAGCGCCATGCATCGCCAACAATGACGTCACAGGAGACCACCTCCCCACCCCCCACCCTGGTTCGTGGCAAGACAAACCTGCAGAACAAAGAGCACAAGTTGAAGGAAGTGTTCCCACTGTGGTGACAGTCAGGGGCTGTGCCTTCATAGAGCTTCAAGGAGGGCATGCTGCTAAAGGCCCACCAGGACACTAGCAAACTGGTGACCAACCAGCATGAGATATTCGTGGACTAGGAGGTGGAGCAGATTCTTTGAGGGTGGGTCCCTCAGCAGACAGGGGTACTACTTGGTGGGAAGAAGGAATCTGGGCAGCTGAGGTTTGGGGGATGTGATTGACCTTTTAAAAAACTTGTTAATTTTGGCTGGGGATGTGGCTCAAGTGGTAGCGCACTAGCCTGGTATGTATGCTATAATTCTAGCCTGAGGCACTGGGTTCCATTCTCAGCACCACATAAAAATAAAGATATTGTGTCCACCTAAAACTAAAGCATGAAATATTAAAAAAGAAAAAACCTGTTAAGTTGCTGGTTGTTAAAAAATGACTGCTATAGAGAAGGAAAATGGAAAGAAGGGAGTGGTTTCAATGTGAAAGAGACACTGGGACTCCAGGACGAAGGATAGAGACCACGACAGAGGTCTGGGAAGGGATTTAGGAGAGGGAGCGGGTTTGGGTATGCCTGGAAATGGCTGGGCAGGAATGGGACCTCACAGAGGACAGGCTGGAGGGGAGGGGAGGGGAGGGGAGGGGGCAGAGCAAGGGTAGGTCAGCAGAGGCAGACCTCAGAGGAAGCGGGGGTGTGGGGTTGGCAGCACAGCGTGCCTCCAACAGTTGAAGAAGACTTATTCATGATGGGAGAAAAAACAGGATAGAGGGCATTAGCACCACACTGGAGAGGAAAATGAAGTGGGTGGCAGTGCGCTGGACAGTAGGCACCAGCAATGTCCCCAGGCCCTCTGGGTGGGGCTGCAGAGCTCAGCTGAGGTGGGGGTGGTGGGGGTGGTGGGGTGTGGGTGTCACCTCCCACAGAGCTGCATTTTGTCCAGCTGGAGATATCATTGTTGATGTTTTAAGCCCGTTTCTTAGCTATCTGATAGGGCTCAACATTTTCTCCTATTTATGTTGTTTTTTTTTTTTTTTGTCTTTTCTGTAAGCTCTTTATCATGGTAATACCTTTTTTTGTTTTTCCCACAATTATGCTCTAAGAAACTTACCATTATTAATTGTGAATTAATTATAAATTATCTGTTTTACATGTAGCACAGATACTTTTCCATGTTTTATTTTTGTTTTACTTAAACATTTTTTTTAAGCTGGGTGCGGTGGTAATGTATGCTATAATTCTAGCAGCTTCAGAGGCTGAGGCAGGAGGATCACAGGTTTCAGACCAGCCTTAGCAGATCAGTGAAGCCCTAAGCAACTTTGTGAAACCCTGTCTCTAAATAAAAATGGCTAGTAATGTGGCTCAGTGATAATACACTCCTGGGTTCAATCCCCTGTCACCCCCTGTCCCCCCAAAATTAGTTTTCAAGGTAATTTTTAAATTAAATAGTTTTGTTGTTTTCATATATTAAACGAGCATTAGTCCTGTGAAACTATTTAGCTGTTTGGGAAAGTGTCAGTTTTTGAAAATAAAAGAGTGTCCCACTGGTTATGTAAATGATATATGGCATTTAAGGTAGTATAATTCTGGTTGGGTGTCCCTGCCCCCATGCCCGATTTTAAAAATACTCTTTTTTGGGGGAGGGGAAGCATTTCAGTACTAGGGATTGAACTCAGGGGCAATGGACCACTGATCCACATTCCCAGCCCTATTTTGTATTTAATTTAGAGACGGCATCTCACTGAGTTGCTTAGTGCCTCACTTTTGCTGAGGCTGGCTTTGAACTTGAGATCTTCCTGTCTCAGCCTCACGAGCCGCTGGAATTACAAGCATGCGCTATACTACAATTTTGACTTTTAAAATAGGAAGAAAGGGTGCTGTGGAGTTCAGGTAGGAAACTGCTCTCTGCACTGTGAGGCCCTTCTTCAGGCCCGCAAGCAGAGGGGTTGCTATCACCTGGTCTCAGCACCTTGCACCTGGCCAGGAGTGTCGTTCACGGGGCTCTCACTGTGTCTCTGCCCAGGAGGAAAACATCTGCCTGCACTGGGCTGCATTCTCGGGTTGTGTGGACATAGCTGAGATACTCCTGGCTGCCAAGTGTGACCTGCACGCCGTGAACATCCACGGAGACTCACCCCTGCACATCGCTGCCAGGGAGAATCGCTACGACTGTGTTGTGTAAGTGTGTTGCTGTCCTCAGCCCTGAGGGCTGCTCAGTGGTCATGTCCATACCAGGTCTGACACCAGTGCAGCTCTCTGTTCTTGGTGGTGGACAAGTGTCCTTGGGGTCTTGCAGGAAAAGGAGCATATTTCCCAGTCCCCTCTGAGATCAGCTGTGGCATGTTTGTGGCTTAGGGAGTGTGGTCCTGTAGAATCCCAAATTCTTAGTTTGAACCTTGGGCCGATCTTTGACCTAACACTCCTACCAGGAAGCAGTGTGGGGACAGTTCTTCTCCAAGTGAGGCCCTCAGAGGCTTTTGGGTGTCCCATCCCAGGAGCAGGGTTCCCTGTAGACGCGGCTAGAGCTGTGAGTAGAGCCTATATTGGCTGCCCAGGGCCCTCTTTAAACACACCCTGTTCTGGTGGGGTCCTGGGTGGAGTTTTTGCTTTTTGGGGAAGGAGGGAACCTGTGACTGCTGCCTCACTTGAAGTGCTGTGCCCAAGGTGAGGTTGTGGCCCCATCAGTGGGGTCACACTCTGGCTGCCCACCCTGCTCAGGGACAGAACAGAGTCTTCTCCCCGTTGTCTCTCCCCTTATCCTTGCAGATAAATCTGAAATAAAAATCACTGGCCATCCTAGTTCTTGCACACCCTTCCTGCGACCACTGGGTGTGGGGCAGAGTGAGGCCTGGTGCCCTAGGCTGTACATGTGGAGGGCGTGGCAAGGTGGACCCTGCTCTGTTCCTAGCCAGTAGACTCATTTGATAAATCTCATCTTTCTCTCTTATAAATTCAGATTTGGATGTTTTGTTGGCTTACGTTTTTCCTTTTAGCCTCTTTCTTTCTCGGGATTCAGATGTCACCTTAAAAAACAAGGAAGGAGAAACACCCCTGCAGTGCGCGAGCCTCGACTCGCAGGTGTGGAGCGCGCTGCAGACCAGCAAGGCTCTGCGGGACTCGGCCCCCGACAGGCCCGCCCCTGTCGAGAAGACGGTGAGCAGGTGAGGAGGCCCCAGAGCCAGCAGCTCTGTGGGCACTTTTGACCTTTGGGGGCAGGCCCCGCTGGACAGAGCTCCTGATGGCCCCCTTTCCCCGGCAGAGACATTGCTCGAGGCTATGAGCGCATCCCCATCCCCTGTGTCAACGCTGTGGACAGCGAGCCCTGCCCCACCAACTACAAGTATGTCTCCCAGAACTGCGTGACCTCCCCCATGAGCATCGACAGGAACATCACTCACTTGCAGGTTGGTGGGGAGGGACACTGGACAGACCAGGAGCGGGGGCCTCCGGAGCCTGGGCTCTGGGTTTTCTTCCCACTCTCAGCAGAGGGCTGCAGTGGCATGGCGGTAGTTTTGTATCAGTTACCTCCCACAAAGGAGGTGGAGGGCAGAAGAAGATTCTTCCAGAAAAAGGATCCTGAGTCCCATGCTAGAGGCCGCGGGGCCCGCCTCTTAGGCTTTGCTGATCCAGAGCAGGGCCAAGCATTCCCCAGCCCATGGTTGCTCAGGATGCTGTTGTTGCCTGGTCCTTGGGTCAGGAAGGAGAGGAGTCCCGTGCAGAGCCTTGGAGGCACCCTTGGCCCCCAGCTCCCACTGCAGGGTGTAGTCTAACAAGTGTCTGTGGGGTTGTGCAGGCTACCAGGTAGTTGTGACTTGCAGTCTTTTCCTTTTATGGCTGAAATCAGACCTTCTCAAAGGCTGTCCTTGTGGCTTTGTTTGTGGGTAGCCCCACCACCCTCCTGGGGTGTTGGTTCTCGGCCTCAGGTGAGAGGCTGTGGGCCCTGACTTGTCTTCCTGTGGATTCTGGCCTTTAACTCCTTGGGGGCTGTGCCTCATTGACCTCCCCTTCCTCTCCTCAAGCACTCAGTGACTTTCTTAGTGTTCCAAGTGTCCTTTCTGGCTCTCCTGAGAAAGATCATATCAGACAAAGGGTAATTTTGACAATTTGCAACACATGTGACCATGGGAGGAAGAGTAGGGGGCCAAGTCTGCCCGTGTCTGATGGTGCCCTGCTACTCTCATCCCCAGTACTGCGTGTGCATAGACGACTGCTCCTCCAGTACCTGCATGTGTGGCCAGCTCAGCATGCGCTGCTGGTATGATAAGGTGAGGATTGTTCCTTTGCTGCAGATGTGCTTGCAGGGTAAGTTCTGCTGGAGGAGGGGCACAAAAACACGTCACTTCCTGTTCCAAGACTATCCCAGCAACTTGGGGAGTGGGAGCCAGAGGTGAGCTGGTGTGCATAGGCAGAAGGAGGCCACAGGCTGGGAGGAGGGCTTTTCTGGAACTGGAGTTGGCCTGGCTCAGCCACAGGAGGAAACCTTTGTTGCAATGTCTGGTGAGCTCTGCCTTGTCCTTGCCAGTGTGAGTGGTGTGAGACACACCAAGGGATGGTACACGCTGGGGCTGGGCTGGATGGAGGGAGCATCACTGGGCAGGGTGGCCAGGGCAGCCTTGGGCTTGGAAGTGACTGGCAGGTGCTGGCAGGAAAAGTCCAGTGAGGGGCCCTGAGGGAAAAGCTAAGAAGAGAAGAGTTCAAAGGCCCAGGGTGCAGTTTAGGAACATAGTGGAAGGCTTGGTTTGGGAGTCCAGGGGTCACTGGTGGGAGGGGCTGGGGTGTTGGGTGAAGAAGCAGCAGGCTGAGAATGGGGACAGCAGAGTCTTTCCCAAGGGATCTTCAGAGGAGGAGGAAATTGTGGAGCGTGAAATGTGTTTTCTGAATGACAGGAGGTCACCAAGAGAGGGCTGGCAGAGCTGGCAGGTACCAGTAGATCTTGTCCTGGGGTGTGGCTCCTGCAGGGCAGGGCAGGAGCAAGTACTCCAAGGGTAGTTGCAGCTGCTCAGAATACTCCAAAGGCTCAGGCGTGTACACAACCCTTGTCTGGCTTGGGGTGTAGAAAGAGAGCAGGTGGTGGGGTCCCTAGATGCAGGGACTTTCAGAGCAGCAAGGTCAAGTGTACAGGAGTGTCCAGGAGGTGCCAACCACCTAAAGGAAGTGGGGACCCCAATACTGTAGCCCTGGACTGACTGAGAAGGCAGGAGGGCAGGGAGGACCGTGGACGAGCAGGGACCAGGTGAGCTCCTTGAAGCCTCCACAGCCACTCAGCTCCTGGTGGGGCTCTGCTCCAAACCCTTGGTGTAGAGCTTTACCCCATGTTCCCCAGCAGGTGTTTCAGAGTTTGACTAGAAATCATGGGTTTATGTTCATTTGAGGCCACACTGGACACTCTATAAAAATGCATTTGTGTCCACCCTTTTGGAAAGAAAAGCAACTGATTCTGCTAAGCCCCCATGGCTGCTGTCTGTCCATAGGACGGCCGACTCCTGCCAGAGTTCAACATGGCTGAGCCTCCCTTGATCTTCGAGTGCAACCACGCCTGCTCCTGCTGGAGGAACTGCCGCAACCGTGTCGTGCAGAACGGTCTCAGGTGGGAGACCTGTGGGTGCCTAGTCACCCTGGACTAGAATGTGTGGGTATGGGTGGAGCGATATCTTGTGCTCTAGAAAGGGTGCAGCCTGTGACGGGCAGCCGTGCACCACTCAGACTCTGCTAGAGAGGAAGGTGGTGTTGGGCACGGTGCTGAAGGCAGAGGCGGTGATGCAGCCTGAGTTCTCATGCCCTTCTTCAGTGGGACGGACTTCATCCTAACAGCACTCTTGCTGCCTTCTGTGCTCACCCACTGTGTCTCTGGCAGCCAGTGGTGACATCTGATGGCAGCTAGTCTGCAGGCTTCTTCCTCGTCACTCAAGCCCTCCATTCTACGAGCCTGCCCAGGTTTGGGTCTGACATCAGTAACCGTGGCCTGTGTTGGAGTGCAGACAGAGTGCTGGTGGCTAGCCTGCTCTTCTCTGTCCTCCAGGAACAAGCACAGTCCTGCCATATCCCCTGGACCCATGAATGGGCCAACAGGATGTGTGTGGCTCTGAGGGGTCCTCAAAACTGGGGGAGACTCCCCAAGCATGGTCTGCTTCAGTGCCCAAGGCTCTGAGGAGCTTGCTTGGCTCCTTCTGATGCCACTGCCTGGGTGGCCAACAGCATAGCATCCCGTTCCCCGGAAGTAGGGCTTTCATGCATGAGCATCTTTGGTCCCCACGCCACCCAGAGGACTAGGCAGCCACAGTGAGGAAGCTGCTGCACAGGCAGGGCCACTGCACTCCGCGCCTTGGCAATAGGCCCAGTCTGTGCTCCCAGCTTCCTGGGTGTGAGCTACTGCTGGCCATATGCAGAGCTGTATGGTTCTCAGATAAGAAACCAGGGCTTTCCTCTTCATCTACTCCTGCCATTCACTGCAGAACATGCTGAGCTGAGTTTGAGTGCAGGGCACATGTCCATCTCCCCTCTCCCTGTTTTCCAGGGCAAGGCTCCAGCTCTATCGGACACAGGACATGGGCTGGGGCGTGCGGTCCCTGCAGGACATCCCATTGGGCACCTTTGTCTGCGAGTAAGTGGGTCTGGGGTCACTCAAGTCTGCTGGCTACATGAGTCATTTCTGGGACATCTGCATGTCTGTACTCCAGGAAAAGCTCTCAGAGCAGGCGCATCCAGTCGCTTGGGAGTGGGTTGCAGCAGAGGCCCTGGTCACACTCACCCTCCAAGCAGCAGCTCACTGTCTGCCAGTGGTCATTGCCCACACTCTTTGCCTGTAGTCATGCTCTGCCTCAGGAATGACCACAGAAGCTTGTTCATGGGGCCGTGGGCACACTGTCCCCTCTCTTCACTGCAGGTATGTCGGGGAGCTGATCTCAGATTCGGAAGCCGATGTTCGGGAAGAAGACTCTTACCTCTTCGACCTAGACAACAAGGTGATGTGCCGTGAGGGGCTGGGCATGAGGAGCTGGCTGCAACCCTGAAATGTGGGTGTGAGCTCTGGTTCTGTGCCGCTGGCCCTGGAGACAGACCCGCTGAGCCCTGGACAGGGAGTGAACTCCTGAGGGGGAGCCCAGCTCATGCTGCAGGCCACTCTCCTCACACCCCACTGCACCTCTAGAACCTGAGATGGAGGGGCCATGTGCTTGACAGGCAGAGGGACAGAAGGGAACTGCACTGTAGATGGAAGGCCTGGGCCAGAATGCCAGCAGGCGCATCCCTCGTTCACTGGGGGTATGCCGGGCTGAGGAACTTTGCTGGGGACTGTCGAGGCCTCCGCCGTTTTGCTGGCTCACAAACCCACTACATCCCTTCAAATGGCTCAAAGTGCTGGAGCAGTTTGCTGGTTGAGCCTTTGACTTGCTCCTCCTGAAGCTCCTGAGTCTGGAAGTGCTCTCCTAGAACACTCCGGAGATGCCGAGCCAGCACTGGTCGGTAGGGACGTGAGTTTTTCTCACCTTTGACAGTAGCCACCAGACCACAGAAACCAGTATAGTCCCTGCAAATGAGTGCCTCCACAGCTGCCCTCGACCCTAGGTTGTGGTCCCCACAGTCCTCTCCTGGGAGGCCCAGCACCGTGGAACAACATGCTCCCCCAGAGAGGCTGGATGCTGGGGTTCTGGCTCTCTGATGTCTGCGTGTGACTTATAGGGGGCTTCTCCTAGGAACTGTGGCTAGTGCTCCTCCTGTTGATTGGTGGTGCCTGTCCTGGTGGACGCTGTGTCTCTTCTGGGTGCCACAGGCCTCCTTCCTGTGTGGCTTTCTTGCCTCCTTGCTATGCCTTCAGCAAGTTTGGTCCTTGTTCCTATTGGGGTCTGACTTACCAGTCTTCTCCTGTATGCCTGTTTGGCTTTTGTGATACCCTTGTTAGAGTGTGAACCCAAGTGAGTTCTGGAAGTCACACTTGAGCCCTCACATTTGGGTCCATGCCCCATGGACTTGGTCAGCTCAGGTTTTATTTTCTGCTTGGATGCCTGTCTCTTGCACCCTGGCTGGGAGACCACCCTCCCTGCTGTAGTGACTGTTACCACAGCTCAAGTGTCCCCAGTGCCTGGGCTTGCCCACCCAAGTCTCAGGTACTGATTTCCACATGTACTGGAGCCCTCAACGAGGGCCTTGGTCTTCATCATTTCATGTAGGTTTTGAAATCAGCTTGAAACTCCCATGGGATTCACTGGGGGTATGCCGAGCTGAGGAACTGCGCTGGGAGCTGTTGAGGGATTCACCATTTTGCTGGCTCACAAGCACACTGCCTCCCTTCGAGTGGCTCAGGCGACTCTGGTGCACCCTGGGTTTCTGTGGTCTGATGTTGGGTCTTCTGTGGAGCTTCCCTTAATCAAATGGATTTTTGCTTTTCCCTTTGGGTTACCTTTTAAGTCTGTTTCAGCTGTACTAAGTGCACATGCTGGTACAGCCACAGCCAAGAGGAGATGTCCACCACCTGAGTCCCCACAACTGCTCACCCTGCCCGCCTTCCCTGAAGGTGAGCTTTTCCTGCGTTAGGATGTCCAGTGAGGGGTCTGTGTCTGCCTGTATCATGCCAGCCACACCACAGTGGCTGCCTACTTCTCTGACTCAGCAGCTTGTGCTTGCACATGGCCCCATTGTTTCCAGCTCTCTGTTGGGAACTACCTGCTGTGACTTGAAGCCATCCAGGGTGTGAGTTTTCATTTCTCTTGGTAAACACCTGGGAGTGGAGTCACCAGGTCATGTGATAAAAGTACATTTAACCTTAAAAGAAACTGCCGGTTTTCTAAGGTGGTTATTCCACTTGTGTTCCCATCAGCAACAGAGGAGAGTTCCAGGCATTGGGTGCTTGACAGTATTGAACACATTTTCCTGTGCTTATTAGATGTTCTTAGGTCTTGTTTTTGTGAAGTAGCTTTAAACGTGTGGCCTGTTTGGATTGGACTGCTTGTCTTCTTGGGTTGTGAGGTCTCTTTGCATCTTCTGACCCCTGAGCACACCAGTGCCTCCCAGGCCCCTGCTCTGCTGGGAGCAGACCCCACTGTGTCCACCTGAGCACCACTGTCTCAGGGCCCTAGTGTGTCAGCATCTCAAGTGCCCTGCCTAGATCCTGCCCCACCTGTGCCCCTTCTCACCTGCTTTGGGCCTTTGCTCCAGCTTTACCCTGTTCACAGGGCCCTGGGGGTATGGGCCCTAAGCCGCCTTCTGTGGCTTATCTGCCACAGACCTAGCTGGAGGGTTTCTTGACCAGATAAACTTAGGAAGAGCTGCACCAGTGTCTGAGGACCCTGTTGAAGACCTCCTTGAGACTGGCAACAGAAGCTTCTACAGTAGGAACGCGTGAAGGAGGGCGTGGCCCTCACTGTCTCTGTTGTGGGAGGGACTCTAGCTGATTGGGCTAGGCAGGTCTGGAAGGGCTGCTAGCTTCAACACCGGGACCTGAGGTTCAAGAGTGGCCCTTGGTCTCTGGGAGACCTGCATCGTGCGCCTCTGCCTCTGAGGGTCTGTGAGCTACATGCTGATGGGTGGCCATTGTGTGCCCCAAGGGCTATGCACACCAGCTTGCTGTCCTTTGGGGGTGTCTCTGGGGTTCTGAGCTCACTGGAGATTCTTTTCAGATGTGAGAGTGTGCTGTGGGCTACCATGGATGCCACTGAAGCCTGGAGATGCTTGGTGCAGAGTGGGGCAGTTCCTGGGGTGAGAGGAGGGTTGCTTTAAAGCTCTGTGTGTCATCTCTGGGCCTGTAGTTCTGGACAGAAGCAAAGAATTAAAGAACAAGCCACAGAGATAGCAAACAAGCAGCAGGTTTATTCCAAAAGCACCAGTAACAGACTTCTCCAAAGAGAAGGGACCCCCAAGCTGCGAGTCCAATGGGGGAGTTTTGGCCTGTTCTTTTTATGGTCTCTGGAATTTCCTCCTTTCATCATCTCCTCTCCTGTCCCTGCTCCCCTGGCTATTCATTGGTTTTCCCTGTGTCCACACATCTGCTTTAGTTTCTCTATTGGGTCCCCTGCTTGTGTCCACGAGCACTTATGCCAAGCAGGAAGTTGACCTCTTTGGAAGACCCTCTCCATGCTCCTTTGGCCTGGCCTGGCCCTGATGACTTCACTCACCATCTTGCCCTTGCCGCCTCTGCCCTTCCACATCTCCCTCACTTCAGCGGGTCCTGGAAGGAAGTTTGTGGCGCCTGATTCCTGTCCTCTGGATGGGAATGGTCCTCCCCTTCCCCTTCCACCTGACGTCTCTGTACCATGGAGATTCTGAGCTGTGTTTCATGGGGCTTCTGTCATGTCACCCCTTGTACATTTGTTAAATGAAATGCTTCTTTATAAAAAAACAAACCTTAGCTTCCGAGCCTCCCTAGTGGGAGGGGGCAGGAAGCCTCACACTGGCCATTTAGCTGCCTGTTCCAAGGTGAGGAGGTGGCATAAAAACTACAGGTTGCAAAGCAAGTTTGGTCTTTTTATTTCATCTGGGTCGAGTGGCCCTGTGGACTGTGGATTTTCTCTGCTCAGTGTGCTCTGACCAGTTACAGCCATTCTTTGTCTCCTATGCTTCTGCTTTCTGGCACCCACCAGGCTGCTCCGTCCAGCCCATCCACATCTGGAGCCAGTCCTTTGCCCAGGGCGTCGCCTTCCTTTCTGGAGAATAACTTTCAGACCCAGCTCTCATTGCTGTTAGGGTGCATTGCTAGGCCCTCTATCCGGAGGCCACCGATGAAGGAACCGGGGTTTTGCTGGTTCTCAGCAATGTTTCCAGTCCATGTTTTGAGGCAGGGCTTTTACCCAGCTGGTTTGATTTCATCCTTGTGTCTCTTAAGTGAAAAATCTTGTTTGCTGGGAATTCTGGTTTTAGGTCCTCATTGGCATCCAGCGGCAGTAGGCACAGATGACTGTTGGATGTGCTGGCTGCCTCTGTGGTGGGGCCTTTGGGTACGCTCCACTCAGGACACATGAAGTATTCATGAAGCTTCACGGTGGTTTTCTCCAGTGAGATTTCATTTCGGTTCATTTATGTTTTGGAATTATGATTTTTAATCTCACAGAAGATTTCATACTTTAAAATTAGAGTAGTATGTTGCTTCTATCCATGTCCTTAGTACTCTGTGCCTGCTGCCTGAGTCTGGGAGCTCAGAGACCACAGGGGCTCTGGTGCAGTACTTGGCATCTGGTGAGGGCCATGGCCTGGTGCCTCATCAGCACCCCACTTGTTGTTTTCCTGTGCAGAGAGGTAGCAGCTCTGGAGCCCCTTTCCTCGGGTGTGGTCCCTCCAGGGCTGCCTCAGGACCTGGCCACCTCCCGACATGTTCTTGGGCAGTGTGAAGGACGTGGAGATATTCTGACCACAGCAGCTGTCCTCTGCTACCAGTAACCATTTGTAGAACTGTGACAGTGCAGGCACAGTCCTTCTCACACAAGGAGTGGTACAGAGAGTGTGTGTGTGTGTGTGTGTGTCTGTCTGTCTGTCTGTCTGTCAGTCACCCTCTCTGCCTGTCCTGCACCACAGGGTCAGCGTGCTGTCAGGACAGGACATGCAGCTCTCAGCCTTTTCACCCAGGGCATCGGGATTGAGGTTGGCTCTTGCTGGCTTTACAGAAGGCATTGAGGTGACTGACTGTGAAGAGACCCTTGGTTTGACATTCACTGTCACCAGAGGGTCCCTGAAGCTGGTGACCTGCTTGGTGGCGAGTTAACAGTGGTGGATTTTGATTAGAATCCACGCCTGATTCTTTTTATCATTTGCTTCTCTTCTGAGACCTCTGCTTCCTGAGTTGTCTTGCACTGGGAGCACCCTGGTTCTCCTGGTTGTGGGCAGCTGTCACCTCTGCACAGGGACACCCACTCCAGGGTAGGGTCTAGTTCCCCTGGGGTAGATCACATCAGGCTGTCCTCCTACTGGAGTCCCATGGAGTGCATGCCTGAGCCTCTTGGGGCAGGCCCAGGTCATGGGTTGCTGTGTCTTTTATTTTGGTGGTTGCTGTGGAGTTTGCTCCCACTGTGGCCTCTGAGGGCATCTGTTCTTGTGGGGAACTAGTCTGTGTCGACAACTCTGACTGTCCTGGAATCCAGGCTTCACCTCATCCCAATGTTAAAACACTGGGGAGCTGTCTCCTGTCCTGTGCTTCCCTGTGGTTGATGTGGGTTTGGGCCTCTTAACCTTTGTGAGTGCCATTGGGCCTCCCATGAATGCTAATGTAGATGTGACCAGGAGGCCAGGAGCAACCTCTGGCACCAACCCTCTCCTCCACAGGACTCAGGTCTGTGCACATGTCTCCTCAGCACATCTCCTCCTGGTTGTGCTCTTCCGACCTGGCTGTTCCCTGACATGCTGATGGTCCTCTGCTGTGTGATGTTCGTACCACAAGCTCAGCTATTCAGGCTGTCGTGTTCTGGTGGTGCAGGCTGGGTACACAGCAAGGGTGGTCACAGCCTCTCCTGGAAGCACCTGGGGTCTGTCCAGCCTGGGCAGCTCCATGCAATCCTATAGGACAGTGCCCGGGCCCTTGCTGCTGTTGACCTGGGTCTCCTGTGTTCCTCACTATGCAGCCTCTGTTTAGGCAGCAGCAGCATCTCTCAGTCTGGATCCCTAGATGGAAAACTCTGCATCTGAAGGGCTCCTAGGTCTCCATCCTACTGTGATGCCAGATGAGTCTGTGGGCTGCCTGGAGCCCTGGTCCTCTCTGCCCTCAAGTTAGCAAGAAGCCCTCTTTCTGTGTCCTGGCATAGGTCTATACAGAGGCCCTGCCCTGCCCTGCCCTGCCCTTCCAAGTCTCTGCGTTGTTGCCATAGCCCTCAGGAGAAGATCCCTTGAGTGTCCTGGGGCTGAGGGCACTCCTGTGCGCCACTGCTGGGCTGCGGCCTCCGCGACTATCTTGCTTTCTCGCCCCTAGGATGGAGAGGTATACTGCATTGATGCACGGTTCTACGGGAACGTCAGCCGGTTCATAAACCACCACTGCGAGCCCAACCTCGTGCCTGTGCGTGTCTTCATGTCTCACCAGGACCTGCGGTTTCCCAGGATCGCCTTCTTCAGCACCCGCCTGATCCAGGCTGGAGAACAGCTGGGGTACGTAGGGTCTCCCAGGTGCAGCAGGAGGGGCGGGTGTGGGCATTGCTTCCTGGTCACGCATGTGCTGCCAGAGTGGGGTGCTCTCTGACCATCAGAGCCTGGATGGGACAGTGTCTGGGGAGGGCAGCCTGCCTGATCACCTGGGTCTGGCTGTAGAGTACTAAGTTCTGCTCTCCCAGGTTTGACTACGGGGAACGCTTCTGGGACATCAAGGGCAAGCTCTTCAGCTGCCGCTGTGGCTCCCCCAAGTGCCGGCACTCGAGTGCAGCCCTGGCCCAGCGGCAGGCCAGTGCCTCTCAGGAGGCCCAGGAGAACGGCCTGCCAGACACCAGCTCCGCGGCTGCCACTGACCCCCTATGAGATGCAGCAGGGCCAGCGGGAGGCTGGAGATCAGATTCTGATGGACTGCAGTTAGGAGAGGAGGCGGTGCAAGGGACCAGGGGTGCAGACCCCCCAGCAGTGCTCCAGACCTGAGGCAACCTGGCCTGTTGCTCAGGCTGGGCCACACTTTGGACTGTGTGCCTCACAAGACACTGGGGCTCCACATGGCGTGACCTTGTGAGTTTCCCGTGGTGGTTTGTCTTTGCAACGTTCCTCGTTTCTTCCTCTGATCTCTGAGGTCCTCACTCCACCACTGGGTTGGTTTTTTTCTCCAGTCCAGCCCAGACTCCTGTGTGGCACCCGCCAAAACCGCCATCACCCACAGCTGCTCCGTTAGTCCTGCCTACCCTCTCCTTATGTGGCTGGTGCCTGCTCCCAGGTGCCGCAGGGAGAACCCTCCCTTCTGTCACAGTCTGGACGAGGTCAGGCAGAAAACGTGGGTCTGCTTTTTAAAGAAATCCTATATCTAGTCCTATGTATCAAAACTCTAACTGGCGCTTCTTTGTGAGGAAGCAGTTGGTGCAGATGGACCTGCACCCGCCCAGCCAGGCCTTGAGGCTGGCCCCCTCTGATGATCTGAAGCCACCTGCGATGACGTCGAGTCAGCTGATTTGCTTCCTACCCTTATCGAACACAAGGACAGACAAAGAATAAACACAACACAGACAACGGTGCTGAACCTGGTGTGGTTTCTACTCACCACCTGAAAATAAACTATCAACTGTAAAAAGAGAACAAAGTGATTTTAGAATAAAATGCAGGAAAAACTTTTTTAAAACGTTAGTCTTGTAGTTGAATAAATTTGCCGTCGCCTTTTGTGTGGCGGCCTGGCAGGTCATGTACTTTTTTTGGCATATACCTTTCTAAATACTGTAACTAGTGCAGCAACCGTGGGTTTTTTTGTGTGACTCTTCTAAAACATTCATATTGCAGTCATGTTTATTTTTTCTGTTAAAATGTTTTTGACAGTTTTAAGAGCAGTCTTTTGGCTCAGACCATTTCTTGTTCTGTTTTCAATGAAATCAATAAAAAAGAAGTACTTTAAGTGGAGTTTCACTGTGGCACCACGCTGTGCTGGTCTCTGCAGAGCCCCACACGTGCATGTGTCGCCCTGGGCACTGGGGCCAGGCTCTGCCTGCTGGCCCACGTGCCCCATGCAGACTGCAGGGAAGCCTTTGGCGAGTGCCCTTGCCGGGTGGCTGGCATGCCTGTGCGTGCGTGTGTCTGGTGCCAGGATTTGGGGCCAGGAATCATGCTAAAGACCTCTGTGAGGCAGAGGCAAGCCCCCACATCCCTGAGTGGGTCTGGTCAGCACAGTAGGGCTGGAGCTGGGCCTCCTGCTGTGCTCCTGCAGGGCTGGCCTCATTCGACACAGGAGAGCTTGTAAGCTCTATGAAAAATAGATTAGAGGCTCTGGTTTTCAACATAGTTCACTCATTAGGCGCTTCACAGAGGGAGACCAGCCCTCCTGCACTTGGCAAGCAGCCCAAGCAGGTTGCCTTCCTTCAGGCTGTGGCCACTCCACGTCAGGCGCTGTCGGGCCAGGGAAGAGGCCAGTTTCCTCCAGGAGCACTTGGACCTTGGCCCACACATGCTCAGGGTGGGTTTGTGATGCAGAGATGGCAGATCACCTCAGCCTGGAGGTGGCAGAAGGAGCTGCCTGGAACTTGGATATAAGGCACAGTTGACCCCACCAGGCCTGGGAGGGGAGGTAACCTGGGATGGCTTGCAGTGGGTCAGCTGACCACGTTTTGCATCTGGATCACCTGCCTGTTCTGGGTCAGGTGCTGGATGTACAGCAGCTGTGTGCTGAATCAGATTCAGGCCACCTGAGGAGCTCTGGGGCTTCGGGAAGGTGAGCAATAAAGGGGGAAACCTGGTGGGGCCAGGGCCCCTCCGTAGACTTCATCATGGCCAATTTTGACCATTTGAAACAGGAACCCACCTCGTGAGCCTGATGTGGGCTGCAGTGTCTCACTGAACCATAGACTGCTCTATGGTGGGCACTGTGGCCCCAGGGGTGGGGCTGGGTGGCACTGTGATGGGAGCATCTGCCTCATCTCCCTTCTTCCCTTTTGTTCTCTTTGGATAAATTAAAACCTAAAGCCCAGGTTCAGGGCGGAGAGTGAAGTTCAGTGGTAGAATGCTTACCTAGTTTCTGCCGGGCCCTGGGTTTGCTCCTTAGAACTGCAAAATGTAAAAAAATTAATAAAAAAAAATAAGTAAAACCTGGGGTTAAATCTAAAACCATGGAGGTGATTCTTGAGTTCCTGTAGCAACCAGAGCCCCTTACCTGGGCAAATTATTAACACTGGACAAAGCCCCAGTGTCTGTCCTGGGCCATGAGAGAAAAGTGGGCAGGTGGGAAGACCCCCGCTTGCTGGTTGGGTGGGGGTCTGGGTGGGAAACTGAATTTCACGTTTGTGTGAAGGCGTGATTTGCAGTGCAGTGCACTGACCTCATGCATCTGGCTCCCTCAGTCTGACAGGCGCCCTCACCAGGTGGCCTTCTGCTTATCCGAGTAGAGGTCCTTCCCACTGCCCTCCTGCCCTTCCCGCTGGTCCCCGCCCCCACAGGGCCCCAGCTGTGTTGGTGCTTTTTGTATCCAGTGTGGTTTTGCCTGCTCTGGAACAGGAGGGTGCCGTGGGCACCCTGTGCCTCCTCTGCTCTGGCTTGTGCAGTGTCAGTGCCGGGATCTTCCCACCTGGACGAGGACCCAGTGCTGTAAGCTCCCTGTCGAGGGGGGAGGCGGAGAGCACTCTTGGGTCTGCCACTTCATTGCTTGTTTTCTGGTCTCTGCTCTCCCCCCTTCAAGACGGGGTCTTGGCCGGCCTGGGCCTCCCAGGCTCAAGGGCCTCCCGGGCTGGGGCTGCAGGTGAATGATGCACCTAGCTCCCCTCGTCTTGTCCTCTTTTCTTTTCTTTTCTTTTTTTTTCTTTTCTTTTCTTTCTTTTCTTTTCTTTTCTTTTTTTCTCTTTCTTTCTCTCTCTCTCTTCCTCCCTCTCCCTCTCCCCCTCCCTCCCTCCCTCCCTCCCCCCCCTCTCTCTTTTTCTTTCTTTCTTTTTTTTTTTTTTTTATACCAGGGATTGAACCCAAGGTGCTTAACCACCGAGCCCCATCCCCAACCCCTTTTTTGTATTTTATTTAGAGACAAGGTCTTGCTGAGATGCTCAGGGCCTCAGTCTCCTAAGCCGCCACGCCGACCCCCCCCCCCCCTCATGGGTTCTTTGTTCTTCCTTCTCTCTTGTGGCCATCTTTTGTTCACTGCACTGTGTTTTCTGTTAGAGATTGCTCTGGAGTTCATACTATTCATCTTCTGTTTACCACGTTACTGACCACCCTCAAAGCCTTTGTGACAGTGTGCGTGTCCCTCCCTGTAGCTTGCACTCCCAAGGCATCGCCCACACCCTCTCGCGGGCTGGGCTCTGTGAGGCCATAGTCAGTTTAGAACATGGCCTTTCTCCCCAGAGAAACTGAGCCCAGTGCCATTGTGTCTCCCCAGTGCTCCTGGCCAGACCACCCTGCTCTGCCTCCCGAGGTTGCGCCTGCTTGGGCGCCTGTGTGGTCTGGGGTCTCTGCCAGCTGCTGTGAGGCTTGGCTGCTCTGCAGCGTACCAGTCTCTCCTCTGGGACATGATGCTCTGTCGTCTGCCTGCTGGTCGATGGGCATGGCAGTGAGTCATGCTGCTGCGAGCTGGCTCTCGTGTGGGGCTGTGTGCTTCCACTCCTCCTGGACGTCCACGCCTAGAGGAGGAGCTGCCGGACCACGTGGCAGCTGTTCAGCCTTTGAAGGTCCTCCATATATTCTGAGCGCAGGAGTGGAGGTTCCCTGCACATCTGTACCACCACTTCCTGTCATCCATCTTTTGTATATTTTTTTTTTTTGGTGCTGGGGATTGAACCCAGGGGTACTGTACCACTAAACCACACCACAGCCCTTTTTGTTTTTTATTTTGAGACAGGGTCTTGCTAAGTTGCCCAGACTGGCCTGGAACTTGCCACCCCCTGCATTGGCCTCCCGAGTTGCTGGGACTCAGGTCTAGTTTGTTCATCTGTTGATACAGCCATCCTACTGGCTATGAAGTGCTGTCTTACGGTTTTGATTTGCATTCCCTAATGACTACGTTTTTATGCACTTATTGGCTGTTTGTGTTTCTTTGGAGAAACATTTTTTGGAGTCCTTTGCATATTTTTAAACTGGGTTGTCCCCTTCCTGATTTATTGGAGTTCTCTGTGTGCTCCAGACACAGTCCTCTTATTGAAAGTGCCCCCCCCCCCCCGCCAACCTCACTTCATAGCAGGGACAGATCTGAGCATCATTCCGTGACCTGGTCAATACCATACAATGCATTCCCAGAGCCAAGAGAACAGGGCCACTCCATGCCTACAAGTGGCCTTCTGTTAAACTGTTTATCTATTTTACCATTAAAGATTTTCCCTAAAAGTTAAGATACACATTGGCCTAGTACCCCAAAGGGTAGCATTGCCAAGTCACTGCACTTCATCTCTGCTCCTCGGGCCCCTGCAGGGTCTTCAAGGGCAGTGACTGGCCAGGAGCCATCCCCTCCTGAAGGGCCCACTGAGGCTCTGCAGCTAGGTAATATCATGCTGCACATTTGTAATACATTATTGGATTGAATTTGCTAATACTGTGTTGAGGAATTTTCTATCTGTTCATTAGAGATATTGGTCTGTAGTTTCTTTCTTTGGCAGGAGAAGTGGGCTGAGGACTGAACCTGGGAATGCTCTACCACAGAGCTCCATCCCCAGCAGTTTTAAGTTTTTTATTTTGAGATACACTCTCACTATGTTGCTAAGGCTGGCCTCAAACTTGGGATCCTCTGGCCTTAGCCTCCTGAGCTGCTAGGATCACATGCCTCTGGCCATTGCCTGTCACTGTGCCAGCTGTAGCTTATTTCTTTTTTTCTTAGTTGTCAATGGATATCTCTCTCTCTCTCTCTCTCTCTTAGTTGTAGGTGGGCACAATAACTTATTTTTATGTGGTGCTGAGGATTGAACCAAGTGCCTCACACGTGCTAGGTAGGTGCTCTGTTGCTGAGCCACACCCCCAGCCCTGTAGCTTATTTCTCGAAGTGTCCCATTGGTCTGGGCATCAGGGTCCTGTTGGTCCTATTGGCCTCGTGTTGTGAATTAGGGGTGTTGCCTTTGCTTCTTTCTTTGAATAAGACTGTGGAGACTCAGAACTGATGCAAACCGGCTTTTGGGATTGTTGATTTTTCTCTCTTGTTTTCCTGCTTTTAATGTCTTTGGTTTATGCCCTGGTTTTTTAGCATTGGGATCAGTTTCCTGACTAGTTCTCACATACTTCGTTTGCCTGTGAGCACTGGTTTTTGGTCTCTATGTTTTCAGTGTTAACTGGTTTAAACTGCTGCTGTTTTGCTGAGACTGTGGTTGGGAGTGAGCTAGGACTTCCCAGCTCTCCCGTTTGTCCTGAGTGCCCTTGTCCTCCCTTCATTTCCAAGGCTACTTGGGTGGGAGCTCGAGTCCCGTCCGCTGCATTAAGAGGCGCAGTTCCATCGCCTTCCGGCAGCCTCGCTTCTGAAGAGAAGTCAGTGGGCGTCTGCACGCCACATCTATTAAGCTTAGCCAGAAAATTTTTTCATTTTAGAAATAATTTTCAGCTCTAGACATTCCATTTGGTTCTCTTTTACAGCTTCAACTCCTCTTTGAGATTCACTGTTATCTCACATGTTCTTGTTTTCCTGTAACTCTCTGAGCATGTTTATAATAGCACTTCTCACTCTTTGTATTTAATTCTGTCATCTGCCCTGTCTCCTATGTTTCTGATTTCTTTCCACATGCATCAGGTTTCCTACTTCTATGCATGTCTGCAATTTTCAGTTGGGTGTTGGACAGTAGGGAGACTGTTGTTAAGTTGTCTGGATTCTGCTGTCTTCTTTTGGGGAATATTGAGTTGGGGGCTCCTGTGCTTCATGTTCAGCCCAACTAGGGCTCCTATGAAGGCTCCAGTGCAGATTTCTGGAATTCCTTCTTTTTGGTGCTACACCCCTCAAATTCCAACCAGCTATG